TATATATATATATATGTATATATATATGTATATATATGTATATATATGTATATATATATATATATGTATATATATATGTATATATATGTATATATATGTATATATATATATGTATATATATAGGCTATATATACACACCATGCATACCGTTTCAAGCATTTGGGCGAAAATTTGAAAAACATTTAAATTCTAACGAATCAAAGGTTGCAAAATGCAATTTCGATCGACCACTTTAAAAGTCTTTAAATCATTCAGCTATATAAACGAATGGGAACAATATAATATTTAACCGCTGAGTATCATGGCATTATTATTATTATTCTAGCTAGTCTTTAATTACTTTTTGTATCATAGAATTATGTCCATGTATAGTGTAATAATGTATAGTGTATCAAGTAGCCAATTGTAAATTAACTTTAACAGTGAGATTTGCAATTGTAAGTGCATAAAAAATTCAATAAAGTTTTCATTATTATTATTATTATTATTATAATTCAACAAAGGAAGTTCTCAAGAATTTTCATTCTGGACAAGAAGATAAGCTTCAACACCGTTTAATTTGTCAAGGTTCATTTTTCTCGAATGTTGCAAAGTTTTCCCTTTCACAGTTAAACACACTTTGGTCTTCCGCTCAATCAAAACTGCCAAAGAACATTTTCAACTTCACCGTCCGTTACATAAATAGCTCTCTTCCTACGCGAAAAATCTTACAAGATGGGGTTTAGCTTCAAGTCCCGAATGTGGTAGCCGGCTACCAATCGTACCTTCAGCGCTTTACTTGGACACATGATTCTATTTTAAACTTTCTCGCTGAAACGTTTCAAACAATAAATCCATGTCGACTTTATGCTGACCTATCTGGATACAAAAGCCCGTCAATTATAACTGTTGACATACATCGACCGGACTTACCAGTGTGACCATATTCAGTATATCAAGCAATATACGTCCGTTTACTGATTTTATTTTGCCATTTTAGCACGGTGCAACGAATAAAATTGTTCAAATTGATGTCGAAGTTTGCGACCCATGATAGCCAGAAGTAATCGAGTATCCATACAATAATGTTTTAACAAATATTGCTGCCCAGAAAAAGGATGGCTAATTGAAGATCAAAGGGGTCACTTTAGTTCGGTAAAATTTGTAAACTTATCAATGAGCTCTCTCGGTGGGTTTGACAAAGAATGCTTCACCTTTTTAGAAATGTTACACACGTACTATAGGAATGGATAAAAAGCAGCAACATTACTGCATAAAAAAGATGACGTCTTATGCCATTAGAGCGACGTACTATATTTTCTGTGTCCTAACAAAGAGTGGACAAACCCTGAATTATTAAACATTTAAATTAATAACTACATATAATAATATATATAATCATATACCCATTTTATTCTTGTTTTACTGTAAATAGTACATATGTAGTACTCTGTTATTCGTGTAGCCAATTGTAAATTACCTAAGTCAGTAGTGAGATTTACAATTGTATATATACGTAAAAATTCAATAAAGTTTTCATTATTATTATTATTATTATTTATGGCATTTGCTGTATTGATCCTCACCTCGCGTAACTTATTGGTTATATTAAATATATACCTCTACCTATCTAGCTTAAGCAGAGACGCATCCCATGCTACACCAGAATCGCTCGACTATAGAACTTGGTATGCATCTCAATTAATGTCAAATCCTAGCATGAAAGAGTACTCTCATCTCCAGGGGCGAAACTAGCCCCTTTTAATTAGGGGGTGCCTGCTAGAATTGCCCTGCGAAAGCCGATGATGCCCTGCAGCAAAATTTTTTTTTGGCCACTATTTCTCCCAAAAATGTTGACGAGCGTGGGGAGGTCGAAAAAATTTTTCCGGACATAAACCAATTAAATTAAGGGTCAAAAAATTTTTTTCGGACAAATTCCGTTAAAACATGCATGAAACCCTTATTTTTTTACCAATATCTGTAAAATTTAGGTCTATAAATTCCGTCAATTCCCTCTGGAAGCCCCTGGAATCTACTTAATAACTCTACATTCTATCATTTAAAATCTTTCATTGCCCTGCCAATCCAGATGATTTGTACTTTGGGGGGTGTCACCCCCCCACACCCCCCTCAAGTTTCGCCCTTGCTCATCTCCATAATCCCCGTCGCCCTACAGGATATAAGCCGCTGTCGTCAAATTTGAAACTAATCCGTGGACTTCACATCGCAATGAATTTCTCTATTTCTTTGACACTTATATCTCTATCAAATGACGTCTCCACTAACCCTGGTCCCGTCCGCAACTTCTCAATAGCGAGCTTAAGCATGCAGGACGGCAACACGACGACGACGGCCAAAACAAATTCCTTCAAATAAATGATAGTAAAGAAAACTTGTCGTATATTATAATTTGTATGAATTTAATAAAGTATAAGAAGCTGAAAACATTGGCTTTATGTTTGGGGAGAGTTCTACTGAACCGAATTTTAAGTTGCACTTGTTACGGCTTGAAATGCAGGCGTTGTATAAAAGACGTGAAAATCTGCGATTCGCCGTTGTAAACAGAACGATGACCACGTCTGAAACTCCCCTGGGACTTTGATTATTTATTTCTTTTCATTGACTCATTGTATTGGTTGCTGTCGTTGTCGTGTTGCCGTCCTATATGCTTAAGCTCCCTATTACCCAAACTTAACGTACGTGGATTAAAGAAGAAGCAACTGCCAAAAATAGACTCTCTCCGATTACTAGTGAAAGATAATCCATTTGATGTCTTCTCAAGCTCCGAAACATGGCTTAAACCAAGTATCTCTAGACATTTTATTGCTTTGACTACTTTTTTGGCTTTTTAATTTCCCACTCTTCGCCCGACTTATGTTGAACATTTGCCCGACTTTGTAATCTTTTGGGGGGGGCAGCTGCCCCCCCCTAACCCCCCCCGTCCCGTACGCCTATGATCTCAGACTCCGAAGTAGCTATACCTGGCTATTCAATTGTCAGAATGGACCGTCATAGAAAAATCGGTGGTGGCACTGCTATATACATTCGTGATGGTTTACCTTTTAAAACCCAATCGGACCTAATGAATAATACCTTGGAAAACTGTGTGGTTGAAATTTTACGACCTAAGGCTAAAAAACTGTTTATATGTTGCGCTTACAGAGCCCCAAACAATCCTGTTGAAAACTACATCACCGAATTGGAAAACGTCATTCACAAACTTCCAAACAACAGCGAGTTTATCTTGCTGGGTGACTTTAACATTGACCTTAGCAAGAACAATCGATCTCCCTTCAAACGATTACTGAATAATCTCTCTTGCCAGCTCCACCTGGACCAACTAATCACAGAACCCACAAGAACTGATCACAGAAACATCACAAACCACGATTGACTTGATTTTCGTTAACAATACTCAGAGAATTGTCGGAAGTGGTGTGATTCCTTGTGCGTTGAGTGACCACTTTCTCGTGTTTGCGTCTTTAAAGCTGGTGTTACTAAAGCCCCGCCGCGTATAATTGAATACCGCTCTTACAAACGCTACAATAAAGAGTCTTTTCTGCAAGATCTTAGAATAACAATTGGTCTACTGCAGTAGATGATAACGATATTAATGCTGCCGTTGACAACTGGTGCAAATATTTTACTGACATAAGTTAAAACTGATCTGCACGCGCCGATCAAGAAAATGAAAGACAAGGGAGTGAACATCCCGTGGATGACAGCAGAGCTAAGTCAGGCAATGCAACAACGAGACCATCATCTAAAGAAGGCACAAAAAAAACAGTCAAAAACACACTGGTCTGCATACCGCAAATACCGCTGCTTCGTAAACAAAAAGTGCGTGAATGTAAATCCCAATACTATAACCTGATAAAAGAGAATAAAAACAATACTTCTGTTCCATGGAAAACTCTGAATGAGTTGACATCCCGCAACATAAAATCCTCAGCTCCAAGTTCAATTATAACGGACGGTGTAGAACACAAGAACACAAAATCCATGTCATCTCTATTCAATAAATTTTTTACCAGTATTGGAATAACTATGGCAAATGCGATCAAACAAAAATGTACGCAATCCCAGTCTCCCGGAAATCCACCACCTGGAGTCATTTGAATCTTCAAATTCCAAGAGATTCAAATTACGTCTGTTCTCAAGAATTTATCAAAACTAAAAACGAACAAATCCACCGGTCTTGATCGTATCACCGCTCGACTATTAAAAGATGCTGCCGTAGTCATCGCCCCATCGCTAACCCAAATATTTAACCTATCACTAAGCAACCTCGTTCCCAGGGTATTTGCTCTTGCGAAGGACGAGGTTGATCACTAAGTAGTCTAAGCTCCTCGACTTTTCCCCAAATCTGGAAAAACGGTAGAGTCACACCTATCTTCAAATCTGGGGAGCGCTCGAACATGTCAAATTACAGACCTATTACAGTATTTCCAATCCTAAGTAAGATTTTGGAACTACCTAACCGAAAACAAAATCTTCTAATCAATTTGGTTTTAGACCTAAACTATCGAGCAGCACTGCTTTGGCTTTCTTTACCGACAACATTCTTGAAAACGCTGATAACGGTCTGATTACTGGCTACTGCCTCTGTTTTATTGGACTTTAGTAAAGCATTTGACACCGTTGACCATGCTATATTATGTTATATGTAAATTAAAATCCGTTGGCTTGGATGACAATTCCCTAAATTGGTTCGAGTCCTACCTTTCCTCTCGTCAACAAGCAACATCCATCAACAGTACGCTGTCCAGCTCTCTACCCGTGTCAGTCGGCGTTCCACAAGGAAGCACTTTAGGTCCACTTCTCTTCATTATTTATATCAACAATATGCCCAACATTGTTAAACACTGCAAGATATTACTCTACGCTGACGACACTCTTCTATACTACTCATCCAAGTCAGCTAGTGACATCAAGAAATACGTAAACGAGGACCTTAACTTGATTCCCAGTGGCTTGATCAAAACTTACTTACATTGAACTGCAAAAAATCTAAGTTCGTCCTGTTTGGTAGTAACAGCCGTCTGAAGTCGTTCACTAATATATCCATACATGTCAACGAACATCAACTTGCCCGTGAACGTACCTTTAAATATCTAGGTATAACTTTCTCAGAAAATCTCACTTGGTCTGACCATTTAAATAATATAATTTCAACAAAAATTAACCAACGCATCGGACTGCTAAGAAGAATTAAAACCTTCATTCCACTCAAAACCAGTGGCGTAGCCAGCCTGACAATTTGGTCATGCTATGCAAATTTCAAATCATTATCATTATTCATTTCTTTAGAAATTGATTGTTTTCACGGTTTATGAACACAGAAATATTTACATAGCATGACCAAATTGTCGGGCTGGCTACGCCACTGCTCAAAACTAGACTTATCATCTACAACGCTCTTATTCTTCCACTATTTGACTACGGAGATATTATATGGGGTGACAAGAATAACTCCTCCTTAATGGATCAACTACAAGTTCTCCAGAATAAGGCGCAAAGACCATTCTTGATGCTCCCTACCTATCCTCATCCACTGAATATAACACAAGACGCAGAGATCATATATACCTCTGTATAAGCCGAAGACAAACTGGGGAAAGCAAAAACTGCTTTACCAGGCTTGTAAAGAGTACAACTATTTGAACTATAATACTAGATCCATTGAACAATTAGGAACTTTTAGGAATGAACTTCTCAAATCTCTATCTTTATAATACTCATGATACAGTATATTTAAAATATAACTTACTAACTCTTTGTATCCTTGTAAATATGTATAGCATCATGTATCCTATAGTCTCATAATTTTTCTGGTATATCATCTATATCCATATATACCAATATGTAAATACTGCACGCACACTATATATATTTTCTATACTTTGTATTTTAATGTTTTACAGGAACCATCTGAAAAACACTTCTTGTGATGTTGGTTTCCTGAATAAATATTATCATTCATCATGCATCTTGATGCAATTTCGTAATTTTACTTTCATTTTTACATTAATCATTCCCCTCGGCATAATTTGGGACATTGGATAAATACTCTGCGTGACTGGCTATACTTCATATCAAATACGCTCAGCCTCAGGAATACATTTGAGAGGTTATACTTTATGAGGATGAAATCTGGAATCTACGAGTCAGGGACATGTCTAGACATGGCGCCGACCATGGCAAATTCAGCTTACCGTTTCGCGGTTTTATTGCTTTCGTGCCAATGATTTGTCATCTTTATACGCCTGTCTGTCTGATATGAGACATATGAACTTTTCTGAGTTCCCCAACTATCTCACGGAATATTTATATGAACAGAATACAGGAATACAGCCGGTGAGGCTTTACAAACTAGTCAGCAACCTCGTCAATAAAATTGTTAGCAATGCTCCCTTGACCTTAGCCACAGTGTTAAAAAATAGGTACGCAGTGCGTACATGTTGCATGCCACCAAAACCATGAAACCTCATGACTCAGAATACTATACAGAACTCCATCTCCATTGTTTCCTGCGTAAGTGCTATTCGTCATGATTCGTCACTTGGCAAGTACTGGAAACAGAAGCAGTCACCCCCTGGCACAGACACGATTGACACCCCCTAACATGCCCCTCATGAAAAACAGCTGATGTTGATAAGCGTGTGAAAATAAAGTGTTATGTATATATGTACAGAAGGTCGACTCGAGTAACCCCTGCCAGGTGTGCCAGCCAGTGCCCTCCCTGGCATTCCGCCATTTTGAATATTATCAGGGGGATTGAATGCCTCCCAAACGCGTACCGGCCTCGACCATGGCGTCAGCATTTTGATGACAAATACGGTCACACCAAAATCGTTGGAGAATCATAGGAAAAACCAAGAAATCAGGCTAGCTTCTGTATGACCCATTCTGTGCCCTGGTTATGATGCGCTATCGCTTATAACTTTTGGTACAACTGGCCTGAAACTTAAAATATTAATTCAATAAGTTTAATACCAATATATTTATTGAAAAATAGCTATTATGTCAAAATAAGAAAACTTAAGATTCTCACGCGAATATCCAATCAACCTCGCAAGCAAGGGCCTCCACACCCGCGGCGGGACCCGCCGCGGGTGTGGAGGCTCTTGCTTGCGAGGTTGATATGCAATATGTTTTTATGAGCGACTGTTCATCGGTAGTTGCAAGCGACGGTAATATAAACAAGCCAACAAGGTAGTGATGGGCGATACCAGCTTTTTTGGTTTCGATACGATACCAGTCCGATACCATGAATTTTGGTCGATACCGATACCAAAATCGATACCGATACTCAATTTTTTCCATTTATTAAAGTAACTTTTAAAACACGAACATTAATGTTTAAAACAAGTCAAAGAATACTTTAACTGGAGTACTTGCCAAATAATCGAACATAACATTTGCAATTATGATTTTAAATCAAAACACCAATGTTTTCCTCAAATATATTTCTAATTAGCTACATGTCTTTGTTTAATTAAGAACAGCATAATGTCAACATTTGTTGAGTTCAGGGGCCTTCAGTCTGTTGCCTTCATGAAGCATTAAGTGATTGGTCAGAAATTCTGACCAAAAACATCGCAGGCTCAAATGGTATCGAATTACCGATACTTTTTGCGAGTATCGAAAGTATCGATACTTTTGTAAGTATCGATGATTTCGATACTTTTTCGATAGTATCGCCCATCACTACAACAAGGTCAATATTGCCATCGAAAGCGATCAGGACTGTTAGGTTTCCTTTAATATTTTATAACTAAATAATGTTATTTCCTTCAAATATGGCTTTATGGTAGCTTTACTGAAAGTATAAAAACCCATGGAAACGATGAATTACTATACATTGAAAATAATTATTAAACTATGATTCAAATTATCGACGTAGAATCTATGCGTAGAATGCTATTTCGTTGTATCAAATTTCAACAGTATTAATCAGAATTTCGTTTGATGTTTTTAATATATTTCATGTTATTTACAAAATGTACTGTAGTTTTGAAGTTTTGCAGACAATATAATCAGTGTGAGCACAATGACTCCGTTTCAATTTGAGCATATATATATATATATATAAAATGAGTATTTTGATAGCGTATAGGCATAGCCTTCACGATATAAATATTATAAAACGGCTGTTAAATAACTAATGCGAGCACAACGGTTCCAAAATCACAACAAATAACAGAATATAAGGTAAGCTAAAAACAGTAAAGCTTTGCCTACCTCGATTTATTTTTCTGAAGCGCTCAATTATGTAAATTTTCGGCAAATAATCAATATTTCTTTGCGTTTCTTCGACGAAAACCCGACATGAAAATGCTCGTCGGAAAAACTCGGTTTTTGTCGTATTTTACGAATCTGCCACGTGACTGGTACGCTCACCGCTCACGACGA